GAGGCCTTGATACAAACAACAGACAGGTGTGGGTTGTGGAAGCCTGGAGAATAATCTTGTTTACTCAAAACTCCACAATGACCCATCAAATACTTTAAGAGGCTGGATGGATATAGCCCATCAGCCGGCTACCTTTCTTCCAGAGGCATACTCTATAACATATTATTATTATTAATTTTTTTTTTGTTTTTTTTTGAGTTGGAGTCTGACTCTGTCACCCAGATTGGAGTGCAGTGGCCGCTCCTGGCCACAGCAGCCTCGACCTGCTGGGCTCCGGTGATCCTCCCGCCTCAGCCTTCCGAGTAGCCGGAATTACAGGCATGCGTTACCATGCTTGGCTGAGTTTTTTTTTAAATTTATTGTAGAGATGAGGTCTCGCTGCCCAGGCAGTTCTCGAACCCGCGGGCTCAGGCAATTCACTCACCTCAGCCTCCCAAAGGTGCAGGATTACAGGATGAGCCACCGAGCCTGGCTATTATTAATTTTTAAACAGCTTTATCGATATATAATTTACATACCACAAAATTCACCTCATGAAATACGCTATTAAAAGTTTGTTAGTATATTTATAGAGTTGTGCAACCATCACTATAATCTAATTTTGGAAGAGTCTCATCACAAAAATAAACCTGTACCTGTTAACACTCACTCTCCATTCCCCATCCCCAGCCTCTAGTCCTAGGCAACTACTCACCTACTAATTGGCTTCCACAGGCTTGCCTATTCTGGACATTTCAAATAGATAAAATCATACAATATGTAGTATTTTGTAAATTAATTTTTCATTTAGCATAATGTTTTTGAAGTTCATTCATGGTTTGGCATGTATCTGTAGTTCATTCTTCTATAATGCCAAATAATATTCCATTGTATGGATAAGCCACATTTTGTTTAGTCATTCACCAATTAACGAAATTTAAGTTTTTCTTTCTGACTGTTATGAATAATGTTGCTACAAGTATTTGTGTACAAAGTTTTTTGGTGTGTAGACACAGAATTTCATTGTTCTTGGGTAGTTTCCTCGGAGTAGACTTGCTGGATCATATGGTGATTGTTTAAGATTTTGAGGAACTGCTAAACTGTTTTCCAAAGTGGATGCATCATCTTATATTCTACTAACAATGTATGAGGTTTCTTATTTATCCATATCTTTTGTAGCACTTGTTATTATCGTCCTTTTGATTCTAACCTTCCTTGTGGGTGTGAAGTGATATTTTTAGTCTTATTCTGTATTTTCCTGGCAACAAATAATGTTGAGCATTTTTTCATGTGCTTATTGCACATTCATAAATTTTCTCTGGAGAAATATTTAATTAAATCCTTTGCTAATTTTTAAATTGAGTTGTTTTTACAGTATTTTTAAAAATTGAGTTGTCAGAGTTCTTTATATATTCTGATACAAGTCCCTCAAGAGATCTATGATTACAGATATTTTCTTCATTCTGTGGGTTGTCTCTTCACTTTCTTGACAGTGTCCTTCGAAGCACAGACACTCTTAATTTTTATGAAGTCCAATTTGGCTACTTTTCTTTTGCTGCTTATGCTCTTGGTGTCATATCTAAGAGGCTTTGTTTAACTCAAGATTATGAAGATTTACTCATATGATTTCCTTTACGAGTTTTACAGTGTTCACTCTATGATGCATTTTCAATTAATTTTTAAATTTCTTTAATAACTTTATTGAAATATAATTCACATACCTAAAGTTCATTCATTTAAAATATATAATTCAAGGCTTTTCAGTATCTTCACAGATGTGGGCAAATATCACGACTGTCAATTATAGAACATTTTCATCACCTCTATAAGGAACCCTCTTCCCTTTAGCTACTACTCCCATAACCTACTTCTCTCCCCTTTCCCTTAGGCAACTCTAATCTACTTTCTGTCTTTACAGATTTTCCTGCTCTGGAAAGTTCATATAAAAGTAATTGTACAATATATGACCTTTTGTGACTGATTTCTTTCACTTATTGTAATGTTTTCAAGGTTCATCCTTGTTGCAGCACGTGGCAGCACTTCATTCTTTTCTATGGCTACATTATATAAATATATCACATTTATTCATTTATCTGTTAATGAACATGTAGGTTGTATACATAATTTTGGTAATTATGGAATAATACTGCGATAATCATATATGTGTGAGTTTTTGTGTGAACATATCTTTTCATTTCTTTTGGGTATATGCCTAGGGGTGAAATTGCTGTCATACTGTAACTCTGTTTGAAAGTTAGGAGACACAAAACTGTTGTCCAAAGCAGTTGCACAATTTTACATTTCCACCAGCAGTGTATGAGGGCTCTAATTTCTCCATATCCTTCTGAGCACTTGTTGTTATCTGACTTTTTGACTCTAGTCATCCTAGTGAGTGTGAAGTGGTATCTCATTGTGGTATTGATTTGCATTTCCCAGATGACTAGTGCGTTAAGCATCTTTTCCTGTGATTTTGGTCGTTTGTAGATCTTCCTTGGCAAAATATCTACTCAGATCTTTGCCCATTTTTAAATTGGGCTATTTGTCTTTTACTAATGAGTTATAGGAATTTTTTTTTATCTTGTTGTGTTTTTGTTTTTAGTAAGTTCTAGATGGAAGTCCCTTATCAGATATATGATTTTCAGATATTTTGTACCATTCTGTGGGTTGTCTTTTCACTTTCTTGATAGTGTTTTTTGAAACATAAAGGTTTTTAAATTTGATGACATCAAGTTGTCTATTTTTTCTTTTGCTGCTTATGCTTTCGGTGTCATATAAAAACTTATGAAGGATTACTCCTGTGTTTGAAAATCCAAATTCATGAAGGTTTACTCCTGTGTTTTCTTCAAATTATTTTATAGTTTTAGCTTTTACATTTAAGCATTTGATCCATTTTAAGTTAACTGGTGTATATGTTGTGAGGTAATGGTCCAACATCATTCATTTGCATGTGGCTGTCCAGTTTTCCTAGCATACTTGTTGAAAAGACAATTCTATGTCCATTAAATTGTTTTGCTGCTTCTGTCAAAAATTAATTAATCATAAATATAAGGGCTTATTTCTGAACTTTCAATTCTATTTCATTGATCTACATATCCATCCTGATACCAATACCATACTGTATTGAATACCACAGCTGTGTAATAATTTTGATATTAAGAAGTGTGAGTCTTCCAACTTTGTTTTTTTCCCCCCTCAAGATTGTTTTGACTATTCTGGGTCCCTTGCACTACCATACAAATTTTAGGAACAGCTTGTCAATTTCTGCAAAAAATCCTGCTGGACTTTTGAAGGGGATTGTGCTGAATCTATATATAACTTTGGGAAATATTGCCATTTTAACAAAATTAAGTCCTCTAATTCATGAACATGAGATATAATTCAACTTATTTAGATATTCTTTAATTACTTTTAACAATGTTTGTAGTTTCATTGTGCAGGTCTTGGGCTATGGTTGTCAAATTTATTCATAAAATTTTATTCCTTTTGATGCTACTATAAATGGAATTTTTGTATTATTTTATTTTCATATTGTTGGTTATTGGTGTACAGAAAACAATAGGTCCTTGCATATTAACCTTGAATCCTGCAACCCTGCTGGTTTATTTATCCTAATAGCTCATTTTGGTTAATTCCTTAGGACTTTCTATATACAAAATCATGTTATCTGTGAATGGTGATAATTTTACTTATTGCACTCCAATGTGGGAACCTTTCTTTTCCTTTTTCTTCCCTAGCTGACCTGGCTAGACCTTCCAGTGCTGTTAAGTAGAAGTGGCAAAAGAAGACATCCTTATCCTGTTCCCAGGTCTTAGGGGGAAACCATTCAGTTTTTCATAATTAAGTATGATGTTAATTGTGACATTTTTGTAGATGTCTTTTATCAGGTTGAAGGAGTTTCTTTTGATTCCTATTTTTTTTTTAGTGTTTTTACTATGAAAGGATGTTGTATTTTTACCAAATGCTTTGTGTGTGTGTGTGTCAATGCAGATAATTATGTGTATTTTATTTTTTACTCTATGGATATAGTGTATTATATTAATTGACTTTTGGATGTTTAAACCAACCTTACATTCCTGGTATAAATCCCACCTATTCATATTGTCAATAGTTTTTATATATGCTAGATTCAGTTTGGTGATGTTTCATTAAAAATGTTTGCATCTATATTCATAAGGGACATTGATGTATAATTTTCTTTTCTTGTGATATCTTCTTTTTTGTTGTAGACATTGTTATGATATAATCAGTTGAGAAGTATTCCTTCTTCTTCTATTTTAAAAAAATATTTTATGCAAGATTGGAATCAATTCTTTAAATGCTTAATAGAATTCACCAGTAAAGCCATTTGGGCCCAGGATTTTGTGAGAAGTTTTTAAATTACTAATTCAATCTCTTTGTTTGTGATTGGTTTGCTCAGGCTATCTATTTATTCTTGAGACAAATTTTGGTAATTTGTGTCTTTCTAGGAATTTGCTTATCTCACAGAAGTTAAAAATTAAAATTAAGTGATTGAAAAGAAAATTCAATTGTTCATAGTATTTCCTTTTCAATCACTTAATTTTAATTTTTAACTTCTGTTATGTTGGTATTGATTTTTTCTCTCTTAATTACAAACTTAATTATTTGAATCCTTTCTTTTTTCTTGATCAGTTAAAGTTTTTTTTAACCATGTACCACTTTTATAATCAAATTATTATAATTATTATAAGAAGACATAAAAAGTGAAGTGCATGCCTTACAATGGGAGGCAGGAGAATGTTGAGGTACACTCAAACTTTTGCTGCCTAGTCCTCCTACATGACAATATGCTTGATCCCCAAATTTTTCCTTAGTTCTCCTTACCAACTTGTCTGGAATGGTAAGCTGAAGCTTGGGGATTGTGGAGCCACTGCAGGGAGCTGGTGCCTTGGTCACTTACCAGCAGCAATGGGCCACATGCTGTGGTCAGAATTTATTTCATACCAGGTACCTGAGATAGAAACCATGGCCCCTTGGCCACTTGGTCTGATGTCATAACTCACCGATACTGCTTTTGGCGTGTTTCCAGTTCTTTACGTCTGTGCTGCTTGAGAATGTGAATCTGATCATCTCGGGCCAATTTTGCTGTGAAGAAAGAACAAGTATGAGAGGAGCCTATAGAAGAATAATATTAATATCCAGTGTTAATGTTTCCCTCAGATGCTATGCCCATGCAGAGTGCTTTATGTGTGTCTTCTCATCTAAGCCTTACACATTCCCACATATGGTGAAGAAACTGAGGCTTGGGAAGGCTGAATAGCTTTGATCTTGAACTTTGCCCAAGGTCACACACCTAATTAGTGGATTTTCAACACAAGACTCAAATCCTGTGCTCTTAACCACACCACTTACAAAAGGCAAATCCAGTTCCTCACCCTCCTGCCCACTTACTCAGAAAGCCTTGGAGCCCCTGCCTCTCGTTGTTCAGAGAATAACATCCAGATGCAAAAGCCAGGCGTGGTTCTCATCAGGCTTGGCAGATACATTACGTGCCTATCCCTGGCCTGCCTGTGCATTTCCACCTAGGGGCTCTAGCCTTTTGCTAGGCCCTTCAAGACCTTGCCTCTGCAGGAATCTGGGGGTCTCTGATACAAAACTGCCTTTTCACTCCAGAGGAAAGGCATTTCATAGACCTTGGTAGGTATTTTTAAACCACTGCAGAATACTTTCCTCCTCTTTCTTGTAATTCTTACACAGAAATGGTAGCTGGTTGTGGGCTTTAATGTTACTTGAGAGACCAGCAAGACTCACAGCTCTCATGCTTCTGTGTCCATTTGGTTACTTCATGAAGAAATGTGTGACTTAAGAAGCAACATACAGTTGCTGGCACTGTCCTGTTCTCTGTGGTGTCCACACAGAGGATTAAGAATGAAACTACATTTTATAACAGAATATGGTGTCCTAAACTGAACTTTAGAGGACACATATGTGCTTTTACTTGGGCTCTGTCACTGAGAGCTGTATGACCTAGGGCCAGTGGCCCTGACTTCCTCACATGTAAAATGCAGATAATGTCTGTTTCTCAAGGTCATGGTGGAGATTGAGCAATAGAATGCAGTAAAGCCCTCTACACAGTGTCTGGAAACCAGTAAAAGCCCAATAAATGGGGAAAATGGCTATTATTATTGTACTTACACTCATCATGGGCCTGAGGTTTCCCTCCCTTCCCCTCTCTGAGCCTGGGCTTTAAAGGCATCTTGTCTTTCAGCCTGTTCTGGTGCTGTCACTCATTTCAGGTGTTGGGGCAGGTGGCTAAGGGCAGAGTTGCTTCTTGGGGACTTTAGAACAGATGAGGTTGCACCGTAATCACTCTTTATACTATTATTTAAGGTAAAGTCAGTGAACATAGTTAATGGAGCCCCTAGTAGGAGAAGCTCAGATCTCTTGAAAATGGGGCCTGTAGTAGAGTTTCTCTATAGCTGCACCTGGTGAAGTACCAGGTTTTTAAAACCTTAATTCCAACACAGATTGATATTTTTGTAAAATACAGTAAAATTAATTACTAGAAAAATGAAGGAAAAAACCAAAGATTCAAAATACAAGCCCTTTCAAAAAAATTATGTGCAAAAGTCATACAATTATCCTGTCAAGTTGCTATAAAAGTTTCTAAGACTCCAACTCTCAGTTTCTGTGCTAACCTCATTGAAGACCTGGACCCAACAGTCCTCAGATCACACTCAGACCATATGCCAAACTCTCTGGCCCACAGCACCTCCAAGCTGAGGCAAACCCTGTCTGGAGTTTGGAATGGGGCCCAAAGAGGTAGATCAATGAAACAACTTTGCATTCTCCCCTGGGGATGTAAAGCCAGTGGTGTGAAGGGGGAGTTTGAGGGCACTGAAGGCAAGATGAATATTAATGTAACAATAACCTTTATCATTGTTTGGAGAAGTCACTGCTGTAGCCACTCAACACTCATATCTCTAATCAGCTCACCTCAAAGAACCAGCCTTTGTCTTGGGCACATTGGCTCTGAGTAATAAATCTCTTCAGCTACATTGGTATCCATAGGTCAGAACATGTGGAAGTGTAACATGCTAAACTTCAAAAAGAGAATGGCTCTGTCTCTCCTGGCTCTGTGGGTGATGGAAGACTCTACCAAATGACTGATGGAAGCTCTGGCATGGCAGGATGAGAAAGTCTGGACTGACTGCAGAAGAGTTCAGGGGACAGGCTTTTAAGAACTGATTCAAGTGTCTTAATGAAGTTGTTCCTACGCACAGAGGCTCTGGATCCCTGGGACCACAGTGATGGCCCTTTGACCTTTATGTTAATCTAAGGTGCAGTTGTGAAATACTAGATTTAAGAGGTGGTGATTAATTGAATTACTTGTAGACTGGGCCCCCTAATTTCCGATTGTCCAAAGGATTGGTTGTTGTGCCATGTGGTGGATTAATGATGGCCAAAAACTCTTTGACATTCCTTCCATTGAGAAGTGGGAGCTCTATATCCTCTCCTTTTTTGTCTGGGTAGGCTCTGTAACTTCTCAGACAGTAAAATATGATGGAATTCACATTATGCCAGTTTCCAGGCCCAGACCTGAAGAAACTGGCAGCTTCCACTTTCTGTCTCTTAGAAAACTTGCTCTTGGAAGCCAGCCATCATGTAAGAAATGCAAATACCCTGAGGCTACCATGCTGTGAGAAGCCTTAAAGACTGAGATGCCATGTGAAGAGAGAGGCCAACGAGTCTTGATGTACCAGACCTGTGAGAGAAAGGGCCTCTCAGTCCCAGCCCCCTTGGCTGATGCCACATGGTTGCAGATGAACCACCCAGTGGAGCCTCTTCCAAATTCCTGACTTACATGATCATAAGCAAAATTAATTGACTGTTTAAAGCTACTACAATGGCTGGATACACTGCAATGGATAGTGGAATTCAATGGACAGCTTCTCCGTGCCCACACTCTACCTTGTGTTATCCCTGTGATCAGAATGGACTGCAATAATGGGCTTCCCACTGGGAACCTTGACCAGGGAGAACGACATGGGGAGAATGAGGAAGGGTCATTTACTACCCAGATTCTCTCTTGTGAGGACCACAACTTCTCCATGGGCACTGTCCCCAGGACACTTCCCCTCTGGATTATTCCGGCATTCTTTCCCTCTCCATGCTTCACCAGGACTAGTGGTGCTGATGGTACCACACACTGGTGTGGGCCCTCTGCTCACAGACCCACATCCTTCTGAAGTTTCTTTCTAAAACACTGTTTGGATCATCCTCATCTGAGTGTCCATTTGTTTTTTGCCAGAAAAAGCTGACGGGATTGCAGGAAGAAGGACTTCACAACTGAGACCTTGGGTGGGATGGGTAGGAGGGTGATTCAGAGCCAATGTTTTCCAACTACTGGAGAAGAAAAGTGCCCTGTCTGCAACCTTCCACATTCTGATCACTACAAGACAAAATGAGTTTTGTGATATTTGTTTTCCTGCCATGAGGTAAGGGGACAAAAATACTCCTAGGCCCAATCATTCAGTTCAGAAATATTGTTAAAGAGTTTAGTTTCTTAGACTACAATAATCAAAACAACCTGTTATTGGTATAAGAACAGGCATATAGACCAATGGAACAGGATAGAGATTCCGGAAGCAAAACCTCAATTTCTCAACCAAGTCATCTTCAAAAAAGCCTCCACCAACAACCACTGGGGAGAGGAGAACTTATTCAGTAAATGGTGCTGGGAAAACTGGCTAACCACATACAGAAGATTGAAACAAGACCCCTACCTATCACTGTACACAAAAACCAACTCTAAATGGATCAAAGACCTAAATGTAAACCCTCAAACATTAAGAACCTTAGAAATGCTTGAGACACCCTTACAGAAATTGTAATAGTCAACCAATTCCTGATCAAAACCCCAGATGCCCATGCCATAAGAGATAAGATAGACAAGTGAGACCTCATCAAATTGACCACAGAATGGGAAAAAATATTTGCCAACTCTATATATGACAAAAGCCTAACATCCACTATCTACAAGGAAATCAAGAGTGCTAAAATGAAAATAACAAACAGCCCTATTAAAAAGTGGGCAAAAGTTATGAATAGACACTTCACAAAAGAAGACATACAGGCAGTCAACAGATACATGAAAAATGCTCAGCCTCACTAATCAGTAAAGAAATGCAAATTAAAACCACACTGAGATACCACCTAATTCCAGTCAGGATGGCCATCATCAATAACTCAAAAAACAACAGATGTTGGAGAGGATGCAAGGAAAAGGGAATGCTTCTACACTGTTGGTAGGAGTGTAATCTAATACAACCTCTGGAAAACCTCTGATTCTAAAAATCGACCTTCCATATGACCCTGCCATGGCCCCTCTGGGAATCTACCTGGAGGAACCCAAATAATTCTATAAAAAAGATACCTGGGTTGGGCTCAGTGGCTCAGCCTGTAATCCCAGCACTTTGGGAAGTCGAAGTGAGTAGATTGTCTGAGCCCACAGGTTTGAGACCAGCCCGGGCAACTTGGTGAGACCTTATCTCTACAATAAATAAAAAATTAGTTGGACGTGGTGGTGTGTGCCTGTCGTTCTGGCTACTTGGAAGGCTGAGGCAGAAGGATCTCCGGAGCCCAGCGGGTCAATGCTGGGTTGGCCGTGAGTGTCCCACTGCACTCCAGCCTGGGCAACAGAGTGAGACTCCAGTAACAACAACAACAAAAACAAACCTGCACATGCATGTTTATTGCAGCATTATTCACAATGACAAACACAGAACCAATTCCGCTGCACATTGAAAGTGGACTGAATAAAAAAAATGTGGTACATATACATGATGGAATATTATGCAGCTATAGAGAAGGACAACATTACGGACCTCACAGCAACTTGAATGGATTTAAAGTCTATCGTACTCAGTAATTTATCACAGAAACAAAGAACTGACTACCACATATTCTCACTTATAAGTAGACCCTGAACATTCGTAATACTGTAAGAAAAGGCTTAGCAGTAGCAGGATGCTGCTAGGAAAAGTCGGGTGGGGCAGGGCGGGGGAGAATATATAATATCAATAAGGGTAACTGATCTCAAACCAGGCAAAATGAGGACCATGGGGAGGCCCAAATTTTACTTATTCTATGACCACTTATCTACTCGATCCTGCATTGTACCCCCATCTTTAAAATAACAAAAAAATTTTAAAAATCCATATCAGAAACAATGGGCTATAGCTTGACAGTTTAAGAACAGCAGGTAGAGAATAACTTTGTTCTCCTTTGCCTCAGTTTTCTTAGCTATAAAATGGAGGTAATAGTCATTCTCATCTTACCTACCCCACTGAACTTCTGTGAAGAACAAGTGAACTTGTGATAGAGAATGCTTTGCCAATGAGGAAGCGGCTGGCCTCCTCTTTATTGTTATAGCCGCTGGTGGTGTTTGAAGGTTTATCACTCCAGGTTTAGACGGGGAGCAAACCAAAGGGCTATGACTTGAAGTAAGGTAGAATTTTGCCCAGGCATGAATTTGACTCATGCATGCTAAGAGATGGGTGTGCAAAGGAGTTTATTTGGGGGAGAGGATGACCTTGGTGGACCTCTGACACCTGTTTCTTTTTCTGATCCTCTGTACAAGGCCAGCTGCATATCCCTTACAAATAATGGCTTCCCAAGAAAGTGCCAGACTGGGCTCTGCACATTTGGGGGTCTTACTGAGGAGAGAGGAGTTTAGGTTCTTTTCTCTTTCAGCAAAAAATGAGACTTCAGGTTTGAAAGCTGGTGACTGTGAACCCCTGACCTGCCCTTGGCCTCTCAGAGCTGGCCCTTGGGGTGCTCCTGGTCTCTCCTCAGGCCTGGGTAAGATGCCCCAAGGCCTGAGTCCTACTGTGATCTTATAGAGGTCAGGCTGTGCATCTGGAAAGTGAGGCCACAGCCTGGTAACTGGAAAACTGCCTATCTAGCAGCATGCCCAACAGGTGTTTGCAACTAGAGACCCAAGTTACCCACTGACAAAGAGGAGGTCATCATTTTCCCTTGTATAATTATAGTGTAGAGGGAAAGGATGGCCAGCCATGTGTTCTGGGACCCTGCACTCCACTCTGGGGCTTATCAGTACCGGAGGAAGGTCACACCTCCTGCAGGTTTATCAAGGCACGGAGCAGGTGCTCTCCCCCCGGCACGGCAGTGTGGTCACTCCCATGAATATAGTTCTTTGAGAAAGGAGGAACTGTCAGTTCTCAGGAAGCCTGGGTATAGAAGAGGCCTGAGCCACTCACCACGTCCATCTCTCAGGACAATCTCGCCCTCACCAGTGATCCAGCGGTAGCAGGGGAACTCAATGTAGTCCCCGTGGGGTGTCTTCAGCGTGATGTACTTCAGGTACCAGTCATCGTGCAGCCAGTACTTGCGCTTCTCGATTTTGACCAATTGGATCTCACCCAGTTCTTCATCCACGGTCACATCATATGAATCAACCTGAGGAGAACAAGCAAGTCAGGGCGTTTGTGCTCTCCTGAGCCTTTGTCCGGAAGGAGCTCAGAACACACCACCCCAAAACATGCTGCTCTTGCATATGGATTATTTTGAATAAAATACACTTAAAAAACAACAGATGCAAGAAGATCATTCTGACCTTCATGCTGTTTCCCAAAAGCAGGAGATGAAATTCCCCTGTAAAAGATGTCCTCCTTGTGCCAAAAGGAAAGTCACATTCTTTTCATTAAGGATTGGAAGTTGAGACCAGGGAAATCTGTAAAAACAGATCTTCTTACACCAACCCTTATCTTCCTAGTTACTTCACCCAATTACCATTCAAGGCCAAGACCCTTGATCTTGTCACTCTTCATGACTTACTATTCTTTGTTTAATTCAGTATATAAAGTATAGACTCTAACTGCTTTTTGTGGTCTTCATTTTCTTATGTGGGCCCCTGTGCCATATAAAACATGTATTAAATAAATTTAATGCTTTTCTTCTGCTAATTGGTCTTAAGCCAGTTTAATTCTCAGGCCCAGCTGAAGTGGGAAGAGGTAGAGTTTTGCCTCCCTTACAGTTCATACAGCCAAGATTTTTAATGAGCCCTTTAAACGAATGTCTTGGTTCATTTAGCCAAGACATTTACGGATAGCCTGCCCTTGACAAGGCTCAAAGCTACACCACAGGAAATGGAAAGGGACAAGTCCTGGGACCTGCCCTTGTGGAGATGGAATCTGGTGAGCCAGGACGGCACTGCTCAGAGGGGTCTGTCTCTGGCTGCATGTAGCTCAGGCTGGAGGAGAGGGAGATATCTAGTTCATGACTGCACGAGCGAGGTTGTGCCTGGTGAGGGTCCTCCTCAACTGCCTCCACTAATGAGGCCAGCCCTGCTGGGCTGGGGAGGCAAACCAGCCCTCACACAGAGTGGCCTTTACAACTAGTAAAGGGCCTGCTGATGATGACCATGGATTGCGCAACAACTCTGGGAGGCTGGGGAAGCTATGGCCTGTTCCATAGATGAGGACCGGGAGGCGAAGTCCCACTTCAGTTACTCATTAGCAGAGCTGAAATTCCATGCCAGGCCTTTCCATCACAGTCACTTCACCTCTGTAGTTCTCAGCAGAGCCCATAAGTGAGCGAAAAGGGGGAGTCTTAGATGCAAGGGAAGTCACATGGATTCAAGTTTTCCTGAGACGTTTACAGTTCACAGCCACATGGGGAGGCCAAGAACAGTCAGACCCAGCAATTGCCACCACACCCGTGCACTACTTGTGATAGATTGAGACTGGCTTTGCAGCTAGATGGTGCCCCCCAGGCTGCATGCAGTGCTGCCACCCAGGCCCCCAGGATGAAGCTACTTCTTCCCCACCCTCCTCCCCATGTGTGCCAGTCTCTGCCTCCAGGACATGGTGGCACAGCAGCAGCAGCCATGGCTTCTGGATGGTCTGTGTCTCTGCAGCAATCAATGGCAGGTGGGAAAGAGTGATGAGGGCTCAGACACTGCATCAGGTGTTCCAATGACCAGCAGGTTTGGAGAGCTGTGGACTCAGTGCCCTTCAACACATTTTCTAAGTCAGATTTCGCCAATCCTTACCTTTTATTTGGGCAGAACCTAAAGTTCTCAGAGTGATAATGAAGCAGACAGAATGGGTGGGAGATGCTCATGCTGTATGTGATCCCATGTATCACCATTTCCATCCCCCTCCCTTTAAGTCACCAGAAGAACCCCTGGAGGACTTCCTAAGAGGAATGGGAAGTTGGGTGTTCCCAGCAAATCTCTCTACTCTGAACATCAAGAACAGTTTGTAGGGCTGCTGGTGAGGCCAGACACTTGTGGTCAGAAAGCAGAACTTCCTCCTTGTGCCCTGTGGTCTGGGCCTGAGGCCCCATTTAGGAAAAGTTTCCTGACAACAGAATGCGAGACCCATATGCTGGGATGACACTTATGGGGTTCTAACACATGTGTATGAGCCTCCGTCCCACCAGAGTGCCCCTCCTGCAGGGTGTGTGCTGGCCTTACCTGGTCACCTCTGAGAAAGAGCCCTCCTGCCCCACAGCTTGTCCTGCAGGAGAGCAGGGCCACAGGCAAGGCCAAACAGATGGCGCGCTAATCCTGGGACCTGCAAGACCTCAGGCAGGGTCCTTCTGTACCACAAGTTGGTGATCCCTGGGGAGAAGCCAGCAGGCCCCAGCAGGAAGATTTAGGGAGAGAAGCCCCAGTAAGACATTGGGAGGAATAATCTGTGAGGAAGGGAGAGAATAAAAAAGAGTGCATCTCTTTTGGAGTGACTTCTGGGGATGAGGAGAGAAGAAGACCTCTGTTCTGAGGCTTCAGTGGGCTGAGGCAAGCAGGCTCTGATGGGAATATGGGGCTCAGCATCTAAGCTGGGCAGGCCCATTTGGAGGAACAGAATGAGGGACTGAATGGCCCAGGACTGGATGCCTGCAGGGTCTGTCCCACACTAGGCTCCACACACCACGAGGATCTGTAGAGGCCTTAGCCGCAGACTGTGGGCCAAGGCAGAGATTCTTGATCCCCCAGAGAAGTGGGAAGAGGGTAGTAGGGGGTAGAGGACTGGGTGAGTCCTGGTGTCTGGAGGTCTGAATTCACATCCCAGCTTCAAAATGACTGGCTGTGTGGTGGGCAAATTACATCATTCTCTGAGGCTGTTTCTTCATCTATTAAGGGGAGATAACATAGAGCTTACATGACCATTGAAAAATCTAAACGACATCATGCCTGAGTGGCCTGCTTTCTCTGGGAGAACAGGCCACTGGCTGCTGTGTACATCAGAGCCACCGACCCTTCTTGCCCGACTCTACGAGGAGTCAGGCCACAAGACCCCACACTGCCTGCGAGCAGCTGTGAGCTAGTGTGGGCCCCTGCACTGCGGTCCTTTCGTGACTACATGCACCAAACTGAGTAGCCAGGAGTACGTGTGGGAGGAAGAAGCTGAACCCGTGGCCTCAAACCTGTTGGCTCATAACCCAGCAGGAATTTCTGTGAGCGTGGAGATGGGGCTGTGAGGACAGAGGGAGGATGGGAGGCATTTGGACACTGGCAGTGAGGGCGGATCAGAGGGAAGTCAGTGTGGTGAGGACAGAGGGGTGGCCAGCAGAGGTCTGTTCTGGCCTGAGCATGACTGCTGCGGGGGAAGTAACTTTCCTTGTGACTCTGAGGGGATCGAGGGGGTGGAAAGTGCACCTAGGAAGGTTGGGGCAAGGGGGAAGAGGATGGCCCTTCTAAAGAAACAGGTACCACAAGGATTTGAGGGAGACACTCTTATGGGAAGGAGGAGCCCAGCATCTGGGAATAAAAGAGAGACATGGCTAAGGTGATGCTTCAGGACTGAGCAAATCTTGGGAGAGCCAGATGTCTAGCTGGAGGTAGTGACACACACAGAAGAGACCAAGTAGCTTCTCTAAGGGAGGAAACAATGACCTAACCCTTCAGCACACCTGTGAAGCAGTCATAGGCGAATAGGATACCCCAGACCCTGTTCTCTACCCACGCTGGAAGCAAGAAGACCCAGCTTTGAGCCCTAGTTCATGTCCCTGGTGGAGTGTAAAGGGGCAACGTGGTGTGGAAGGACGCTGAAAAGCCTCATAAGAGAGTTGGTATTTAAGGGAACTTATGGAAGCTGGTCATATTTCAGAGGTGAGGGGAATGGGAAGAGGGAAATGGGAGGAAGAGGATGGTAAGGCATTTCAGATGTAGGGAGCTGAAAGACCATGATCCCTGGGTGGCAGGGGCGATTTGCACATGGGAAGAAGATGCTGAATACAGAGTTCCTAGGGACAGAAGTGGCTGGTGTAGCTGGCTGAGATGCTGAAGGGGAAACCTGCAACTCACCAGTCTCATTTCACAAAGGGCTAGTTTGCTCATTTCACTTGCTGCTTTCAACCTTTTATTAGCTATATGGTTTTTAAAGCTTTTGAATATTTCAGCAAGTGTTAGTAGATCAGTTTTGTTTGAGTTTTCTAGCAGCACTTTAAGAAAGATTTCATCTCTGTCTGTATCAGATCTCTGCTGTTGCTGAGACAGGGAGATGGAGCTCTCTGCTGGAGCAAGGACATGCCCACTCCCTCCCCCTAGGCTGCCCATCTTGGAAGGATGATACTAAGGGGCTGGTGGGAGGAGGATGAGGTTGCCGAGAAGAGAGAGAGGAGACCAAGGGCCAGAGAGAGGAAGAGAGGGGGCAGTGGTCAAGGAGACCACGGGGCGTGGTGGAGAGAGAATGTGGATCAGAGAGCCAGGCATTGAGGGAGCAGAGAAGGAGGCACCGGGGTTGGCTGGAAGACAGAGCAGAAAAGAAGAAAGAGTTGTAGGGCAGAGAGTGGAAATGGGAAGGGCCATGGGGGACCAAGGAGCAGAGGAAGAGGAGGATGAGGGGGTAGAATATAGGGAAGAGAGAGAGAGACTGAAAATCCTAAGAAAGAAATATTTATTCTCAACTAATATATTCTTATTCCCAAGAAAGAGGTATTCTAGAATTTATTTTTCATGAATATAAGAACTGAATATATTTACAAAGTATATATCAATTATAAGACGGTTTACACTTGCTAAATATACTCAAGAATCATATATTAAAAATCACTCAATTGCCCTTAGCTTTCTTAAAAGTGCTATCACAAAATGAAATGGGCCAACTAAAATTTCCCAGAAATCTTCAGATCTGTTAAAGTAATCCCATCTGACTTGAATTCAAATGTACAGAATTAAACAATTTGTCAAATTTGCTTAGACTTGGGCTAGTCTCTGGAAATAAGCCCATTTGGGGTCTAACCTGAACTTTCCCAGTGGGGAGCCAGTAAAAGCATGATCATTTACAGGAAAATCCCACCTACAGAAGATTCCATTCCCAGTCCTGACCTGAATCACTCTGCACAACTCTGATGAGAATGATCATGGATTTGTAACTCAGTTTATTGAGGAAAAACATCAGTCCTGTCCATTATTCAACTGAATTGTGCAGGAGGGGGTAGGGATGTTAATGTGTCAATGAGCTAAAAATGAGTGAATTGATTAGGTGAAAATAGCCTTTATTGTTGTTATTGCTACTGTTGTTAATGATAACAGTTATAACACTTTTCTATGTAAAATGGGATAGCTTCCTCTATTGAACAAGTACGTTCTCCAAGGTTTACCCAAAATGGATGGATTGTCTTTAAAGATACACTGGCTGAAGAATGAGGAAGTAGCTCCCGGCTGTGCAAGATAAAGTGTGGAGTAACTTTGTGTCAACAGGAACTTTCTCAAAAGTTGATATTTTCCCCAAGAGCCTTTTGCACCTAGCTAGTTCCACTACAGCGCAGAAACCCCTCTTGACTTGCTGTTCTCTCAACCCAATGGAAATGTGAATGCAAATCTCTCCTGAAATTTGCTTCTGGGGTTCTGGCTGTGGTGTCCAATCCCAATGCCATTTGAATGACTTTTATGACTTATCAGGGTGGGGAAGACAGAACAGAGAGAGGGAAATAAAGGAACAGAGCAGTGCTTGCACTTTTCATCCAAAGACTTCACATGGCCACATTACCACATCTCCTCCTGGGAGAAACCCCACACAGGGTGCCTGTGCTGCACAGCGAAGGCCTGTGCTTCTAGAACCTGTAGTGTGTGGAGGAGAATGGGGAGGGGGGGAGGAAGTAGTTTGTATCCTGTTCTTCTCCCCTAGGTGTTGGGGGGAAGCCATGAAAAAATGAAAATAAATGAAGGTGCTTCAGAAATGACAGAGGGTGTCACAATGCCGAATGATGTATTAACTTCACTGCACCACTCTCCTTGGGGCCGTTCCCTGACTGGGGAAACCAACAACCAGAAAGTTGCTTTTATACTCAATGCCTAATTTTTTTTTAAAGAATTTCAAGCCAGGTTGCTAGTGTGCTGAACTTGGTTAAGTGTCAAGTTGGGTTACAGTAGGTTTCTGCAGTTCCTGGATAGGAATCAAGCCCTCTTTAGAGTTTGGAATCCAGAAAAAGAGTAGATTATCTTTTTTATAATTTAGGCTCTGCACACCTAAAGCACACATCACAAATTTATCCAAGAAAAGTTCTCAGTTGAAATGTGAAATCGCCAGTTGTGCTTGTTAAAAATAGTTTATTATGAGCAATTTCATATGGTTTGACATAATAGTAAACTCAGTGGTGAGGAGGTAGCTTAATAAAGTCTAAATCTTTTTGGTCTAGTTCAGGAGCTGAGCATGGTGAAAGGGAACTGATGTTCTCTGAGCACCTGCAGTGTGTCTGGTACTATTATTATCAGAGTGATTTACTGAGTACTTCGGTGCAGGTACTAGGCTAGTCACTTCAGTAAAGGCTCAGTGAGAACTGACCTGCCCATGCTCAGGGAGAAAGTCATGGTGCTGGAATTCAGGAGTTGGCTTCTAAATGAGGTCACCTGTGCATGGCCTCACACAGTGCCCAGCACTACAGTGTCCAGCACTAGAAGTCCAATAAATGTTGGCTGTTTTTGCTCCCTGAAGTCTCAGGCTCCAGGGTCTGCAGTGAGAAGTAGAGAGAGGCCCATTCTCCCTCTTCTTCCTCTATGGGATTCTCAATCCTAGGGTGGAAGTGTTTCCTGGTCTACATTTTGCTGGGAGGGTGTGACCATGCCTGGGTTTCAGAAAGGCCTCTCCTTGCCTGGGTTCTCTTGTTTCTTCCCTTTACATTCTTCTGGGACCTGTCCTGAGACTGTAAGCTTCCCAAGTATGAAGACATCTGCTAGAACCACTCTAAGCCCCAGGTGGTCCTGGGTTCCCCCACGGCTCATGGACCAGTGGAAGACCACCTTCCATTTTACAGCGGGGAACTGAGGCCCAGAGAGGGGACAGAGTGAGCTAGCGGTGGAACTCAGACAGAATTCAAGCCTCGGACCCCCTGACTTGCGCCCTCTCAGTACCCGGGTCATCGCAGGCTTCTAAGAGGTGCACTTTGTGCTTCACATTTGGGCAAGGCCCCTCAGGGTTTGGTGAACACGATCCCTCCCCTCCCCAGTGCGACCTGAGGAAGGAAGGAGTGTTAGTAAGCAGTGGCACAAGCAATGCCGCCTGCAGCACTCACCCAGAGCCTCCAGGGTCCTCATCTGCGAAATGGAAAGGAAACCTTTCGCTTTCTCCTCCTCTCAAGGGAGAAGGTCGGCGCCCTGCAGACCGCCCGCTGGAAAGTTGCCCATCGCCCACCCGAGTCCCGGTCGCTGCTACGGGTCCTAGACCCTGCCCATCCAAGTTCCCGGCTGTCTGGGTGCCCAGGGCGCGCCCGCACCGCAGTTCCCTCGACCCTGGTGGGGTCCTGGTCACTCCCCAGCCCCGGCCCGGCCGCAACGACCGGCCCTCGGGCGCCCCGCCCCGTCTCTGCTGTCCCGACCCGGTCCTGGACGCGCCTCCAGCCCGATCCCAGCCGCGCCCCCTCACCGCGCCGCGCTCGAAGTCATTGTAGAAGGGCTTGTCCAGCAGGTGCTTCTCGCTGCAGCCCGCCGAGCCCACGAGACTGAGGTAGATGTAGTCGTC